CAGAAGAAGTAGGAAGCAGGCAGTGTAAACAAAAGATACACTGTTTCTTGGGATCAAAACAATGAAAAGGTTTTCATTCACTTCTTGGCCCATCTAGAGGGTCTGACGTAGCTTCACGTGCTGCTGTTCCTCCAGGCCACAGCCAGGACATCCCTAAGTCACTGTCAACTAAGAGCAGTCTAGCTGTGCACAGAGCAAACTGTGCAACCTGACTACAAGGCCCAGGGGAGGCGACCAAAGGTAAACGATTGCAGCCTTGGTAATGGGGTGGGGGTGGGGGGAACAGATGTGGGGTAGAGGATGGGTCTAATTACCCTAAGAGCACATGTTCTGATGTTCTGAAGGGCCCAGCACATGCTCCACAGACTTGGACTGCACCCTTGGCCCATGGCTAAGAATCCTCTCCAAGTGGACACCATCCCCTGAGAACAGGCGGTTAAGCACACAGTGCTCCAGGCCCCACCATTCAGCTACACGCAAGCCACTCACCCTCTTCATAAAACAGAGATCTAGCTTCTCTGAGAAATCTTTCCTACAAGCCCACTGTCCTCCATGCTCCCCAGCATTCCCCGAGAGCCCAAGCACAGGGGGCTGGAAGGGTCAGGGCTGCATGTGGGTGTAGGCCATTCAGCAACAGATGCCTTCCAGGGGCTCCAGCACCCCCACGGGCCCTTGGGTTTTTTCTTGTGCCACGTTCTAGATGTGCCTGCACGACCGAGGCCCTTTAATGCTTAATGACAGGTGAAAATGGCACCAGCGGGCTGCCAATGGCCAGATCTGTGACAATCTGAGGATCAAAGTAAGTACTCAGAGTAATGCAGAGTAAACCTGTTGAAATTAAACAGGGACCCATGAATTTAGGGGGATGAATGGGATAAACATATATAATGGGGAAAGGAAGTTCTTCATCCTCTATACACACTTCTTTTCCATTTCACTTGGAAACATGCTGACTTTATAGAGTGGAAGGAGCCACCTTTGACCAGAGTCAACATCACCAACAATAGGACAAACGGCCTCCACGTGCCTCCCGAAGCAATGGATGGGAGAAGATACAATGTTGCCCCTGTCATATTCCTGCCCAGAACACAAAACTGTAATCACATCCCGAGGAGACATCAGACAAATCCAATTCAGGGAGAGGGAGACTCTCTAAGTGTCCTGACCCTTCAAAAATGTCAGGGTCACAAAGACGGAGGAATGGTTCCAAATTAATGGCATCAAAGCAATAAGACAACTAAATTTAACGCATGACTCTAAACTGGATCCTGGGCCAGAAAAAAACTTCTGTTTTCTGTTTTTTTTTTTTTTTGGCTACTATAAAGGACATTTTTGGCAAACTGGTAAAGTCTGGATGAAGTCCACAGATTACAAAACAGTACTGTCACACTGCTAATTTCCTGATTTTGAGAATTACACTGCGGTTATGTAAGTGAATATTCTTATTCTTAGGAAATACACATTGATGTATTTGAGGGTGAAAGAATATCACACCTGTCATTTATTCCCAGAGAGCTCAGAAAACGGTATGTGCACAGATACAAAAGAGGGAGAACATTAAAGCGAATGTGGCGACACGCGAACAGTGGGGAACTCGGGTGGCAGACAGAAGAGGGTTTTCTGTACCATTCTTGCAACTCTTAGATGGAAGTCTGAGATTATTTCAAAACAAAAAGTTACAAAAATATGCCAGGGACTTGGAGCGGTCAGACTTACCAGACAGAGGGGGACACAGGTCACTCTGCCCTGGCGGGGTCGTTTGGGGGGCAAGTACACGGAGTCACAAAAGAAAAAGGGGAAACATGCACTGGGACTTTGCGCTCACCTGTGCCTCTCTCACCTCCTCCTTCAAGGGCTCAGACTCCACAGCTCCGTTTCATATGCTTCCCCACTGCCCTTAAGTGGACTGAACACATGACAACTATACGACACCTTCCTCTATTGCTCTAACTGAAAAAATGGGAAAATATCCTGTCAGGCTTCGCAAGGCTCATGGCAGTAAAAGACCAACACTTTAGAAAAGCTACTGTAATAGTATTAAGCAAATAAAGACACTCAATATTTACAATGCTGAAATCCATTATAAAGCAACCATTATAAAGCAAGGCGGGGGCTGTACACTGCTCAACAAGAAGTAACCCCCCACCACCCCCACCGTGAAGACAGCAGGTGATCTGAATGCCTGACTTTCTGCTACGGCCTCCCATTTCCTCCCCAGATTTCTACCCCCAACAAATGGACCACCAGTGACACTGCAGACTCGGGATTATTTTTAACCAACAGTATCAAGACAGGTGTCTGTAGCTTTAGGGGTCACTGTGTCACTATCCAGAGTCTGGTGTTTTGAACAGGTTATTTGCATAAAATCTGGAGAATGTATTTGCCTTCATTATAGAAAAATCAGGTTATAACCTAGAGCCTGTCCCTACACCTCCCCCAATATCCCCAGCCTACTTAGGAAGCTAGAGTCCCTTAAATTATTAGTGACTGCATTGTCACATTGGTTCATTTTTTTTTAAAGAGATGCAAAATAAGATTTACAACCAGAAAATAGTGTGGTCCTGCGATGAAATTAACTTACATTTACTTTACCAAAAGCACTGTGAACAAACAGGTTGCATCTCATTTGAACAGACAGATATGGCCATCTCCAATATCCTCTTAAACACTGAACTGTGAAATAACACTGGGAGAAGAGGAGGAGAGGAAGGATATAATCTGCTAGACACTGTTCTCTCACCTCCCATGGACAGGCAAGGCAATGGAAACAACCCCACACCTCCCATGGACAGGCAAGGCAATGGAAACAACCCCACAGCTTGTGGCCCATTTGCACGTGACTAGAACTGCCCACCTCTTCGGCCTATGCTGTGCACCAACCCCCACGACACACCTGGCCCATGTCTTATCGCTGATCACACAGGCCACCATGGAGGTGCATCAACCAGGTCCATCTGGGCAGGCCCAGGGGGGAACCTTATAGAGTCACCGATAGCCTGTGTAAGTTTAAAGAGAAGCTCATACATAATATCCTTACAAGACATCTAGCTCTGTGACCAAAGGCTTAGTCCCTCAGAGTGGAGCTGTGTGGGCTCTTGGTGTCCAGAGCTTCTGGACTCTGAAGGCACCAGGGCCCAATAGCCTCCTCTCTTGGGCGGCCCCATCCACGTCAGATCTGGCCCAAGGACATCTAGGAGCCCCTTCAAGATGGAGAAAGAGGCAGGCCCCGCATGCTGGTCAGTTCGCTGCTTAGGCTCATCGTGAGAGGCCACTCTGCCATCTTTTCCTGCTGAATTATGGACATGTCCCCCAGAATATCAGCCTACCCTCTACAGTCAGAATCAGCCTCCCTACCCCAGCATGAGGTCATCATGAATGCACTGGGGCCCTGCTTCTGACCAGTCCCTCCTGGTCCACCAAGAGGGGTCAAAGTCCAGTCACACACAGGAACACCAAAATCCCTTCAGGGAAACCAAGGCAAAGCAGCTGGGGGGGTAGGGGGAGAGTAAATGTAGTGGCAAATTATGAAACAATCAACCTTGCAAAAACAATTACCATTTCCGAGCTAGGTTGGAAAGGAATTTATACACCGTAAACGGCAGATGTAGGATGCTGGATATTCTTGGCAGCTAAAGACGGCCACATAAGAAATTCCTAAACCCATTCATCAATGTGACAGTTCTCATTTAATAATAGAATCATACTCAGCACATTTCCCATCAAACACACACACCCCCATAGGAAGGTATGAAGAGGATCCAATGTGAGTTTTCAGAGCATCCCTGGCTCCCTTACAGAGACCCTATACTGAAGGAATAAATGAAAGACCCTCTGCAAATGGGAGGATGTCTCCATGTGTGTCTAAAAAAAGCTTGAAAGGCACTGCATGGACAGGAAAACAAGAAGGACTCAAAGCAATAACAGGTAACATCCGCTTACTTAGCAACAGCTAGCTAAAAAAGAGACCAACATTTAAAGCAGAACACAAACACTGGGTGGGGTATTCTAAGCATGACCTCTCCTTTCAGAAGGAAAAAAAAGGTTAAAAAAAAAATCTTGAAGGGATATTTATACAAAGCTGTAACGTTCAGAAAAAAAGGAGCCAGAAGACCAGTAACACAGTAAGAAAGAATGACAGTAACAATTACAGCTTTTTCTACAAAATAAGATGTGTCTTCTTTTTGGATAAATCAACAGAAATTGCCTCATACTTGGTTGTTTGGAAAAATGTAAACAAGCCAAAAGTACGTTCTATCACATCTTTGTTAGTGTACCCTTTACAGGAAGTACTCACATATGCTCATACCAGCCCTAATTCCCAGAGTTAAAGCCTACACGTTTTGGAAGTCTTCCGTGGGCAAAAGGTGTCCAAATGGTAGTGGCTATTGCCAATGGGCAAAACCAACAAAATACACTGTGTCTACAGAAGACATAGGGTTGGTTTGTTTTTTTTTTAAATCAACAGCACACCTTAAAATGTAAGTGGCAGTCAATTCAGGGTATAAAATTTTTATGCCCCAGATCCCAGACTCCTGGTTAATGGCCTCCTGACAGCATTCAAGGACAGCACCACGGACTGAAGGGGGTGGCTCTCCCGCTCTGCCCGTCAAACATTACAGGACTACTGCCGGCACTGCGCCCCTTGGCTGAGTGAGGATGGAAATTTTAATAGGTCTTTACCTTTGACCCCAACTGCCCAAAAGGAATGCAGAAACCCTCTACATGGATTGAAAATTACGTTACTATTTATGTGGGAATATGTCAAAGCAGGTCCATAACCCCTTTCTTAGCATGGGTGTCCCTTTGCCACCTTGTACGATATTCTATGTAATTACTGTGACTTAAATTCATCCATAAAACATTTTTAAATGGGAAAGGAGAAACAATGGTGGGTTCACACATAGGTAATACCTCGCATTTCCATTATTACTAGTCACCTTAAAAAAAAATTGTGGGGAGGGGGAGGGTGTGAGGAGAAGGGGTAAATAAAACATCATTACCCTCCTTGGGTAATATGCATTAAATTCGTCTCCAATACGCCGCAACTCTTGCGCAATCCATATCTCCGGGCGTATATCTGCAGGTACAGCCTGAGACTGCCTCATGGAAGCTGCATCAGAACAAACAGAACAAAAATCACATTGTTTTCCATAGATCATTTAGCACGTTCTAGAAGCAAGCCCATCTCACACACTCTGTTTTGTTTTTGGAATCTCCCTAACTTCAGGACTGTCCTACCTCAATTTGGTTAAAGAGTGACGGATAAAGAACTGACTTTTTCAAAACTGGAGACTCAGAATTGCAAAACTTAAAAACGTCCTGGCCAATTAATTACATGCTCCCATTTCAAAATAAATTAACACAAAAGTGGTACAATAAAGATGACCAAGAGAAAAAAAATTTCATACTTGAAACACAGAACATAAAAATCCAGGTTGTCAGTAAAGTAACTACTCTGATCTTAACACAAGGTAGAATTCCTAGGGAAATTTCAAACATCACACAGGAATTGGAGATGAAGTGGCTGTCCTATCTAATGCTATAGAATAAGGGAAAACCTGAGAATCAGCAGGCGACCTGAATGAGCTCGTTTCTATGGGAGCAGGTGCAGTGACACCGTCATTTACAAGTGCTACCCCATGGCCAAGTTAAGGCATACCTGTGTGTTTTGTCTCCGTATTAATGCGGCCCATAAAGGTGGATTGGATTCAAGTCTGCAAACCCCACATGGGGAGAGGAAATGTTTTGGGTGAAGGAGCAAAGGCATTTTTGAAAGAAGAAAGAAGAGGGAGGTGTGCCTTTCCATTAAGCTGTCACTAACATTCACACCCAGTCCATTCATCTGTTTGTTGCTGAAACCATTTAAAAGCCATGTGAAGGGGAGCAAAACTGGGAGTTGTCAAAAGATCCCAAAAGGCACCAGGAAGGTGGCATTCTCCACACTCAGGAGAGAATGGTTTGGCATTGTGGGCACGGGAAAAGAGACGAGCTTCTTGGGCTTGTGACTTGTTAACCTACTGTTAAGCATGGGCACATGTCCTCACAATTAGACACACGTGCTATGTTCTGACCACAGCAAAATATTTTAAAAACCGGTAACGATCAGATTTTGCAATACTATGCATATGGCTTTCTGTTTTGTATTTCTGCAAAAATATTTTGTATGTGGGATTTCTGAATTTTATCGTTAAAAGTAAAACTGAGGTTGACTCGTAGCTCTATAAAAGCACTTAAAAGCGCGCTCTGAAAAAAAAAATAAACTGAGTTTTTACCAAGTCTTGTCAAAACTCTTGTCCCATCTTCTTTGCCCCCCAACCCCCACCCACAGGAATCCAATAATGACCGCACACAAAGAGCGAGTGCCTGAGAGAGGATGGGCACTGAGTGTGTGTGTGTGTACATGCGTGCACATGTATGTGCAAAGAAGAATGCACATGGATGCTCTCCAGAAGTATCTGTGCTCTGTGAGTAAGCCAAGGGAAGATTCCTAAAGGAAGCCCTAGGGGAGAACGTGAAGGCTGACCACAGAGAAACTTCTGGGATAAGCCAGGCACGTCCCCTGAATACACCCCCAACCACATAAAAATTACTTTGGCTGTATCTTTGCCACACAAATAGTTTTATCATTACTCTGTAAAAGCCTATTAAAATTAAATTTTAAAAGGCTAAAACCGGCAGGAAACAAAATTTCAGGGTAGATGTGATGCCAGGTGGTGATATAATAGTTCACTTCCTTCTTTTGGGTTTGCAGCGCTTTAAAGATTTAGTCTGTCAGAGGTACCCAATCATTACTATTCTTTTTATACTATCAGCAATCAAGTGGTTTTTTATCCCCCTAACTTCAGAAGCTGTTAAAAAAAGTCAACTCATCCCTGAGAGAAAGGAAAGCTCTTTTCTTAGAATGCCTACTACACCTCAGAGCCTGAAGGTTTGGTGCGAGTCATTTCTTACCATCCTGCTAACCGGCCCCGCAGGGACACAGCTGCCCCATCCACAGGTGACCAGACTAGCAAGCAGGACACTGTGTGGCCACCTCAGAGCTGCCACACACCCTTTCTGGGCTTCATTCAGAGCCCTCACTTGTTTCTCACTCTACAAGGCTCTCTTGAAGAGAGTAATCTGCTCTCAGGGGCACCTGGCTGGCTCAGTGGGGGGAGCATGCGACTCTTGATCTTGGGGTTGTGAGTTCAAGCCCCAGGTTGTGCATACAATTTACTTAAAAATAAAATTTAAATTAAAAAAAGGGTAATCGGGGTGCCTGGCTGGTTCAGTCGGTTAAGTGTCTGCCTTCGGCTCAGGTCATGATCCCAGGGTCCTGGGATTGAGTCCCACATCGGGCTCCCTGCTCGGCGGAGAGCCTGCTTCTCCCTCTCCCACTCCCCCTGCTTGGGTTCCGTCTCCCGCTGTGTCTTTCTCTGTCAAATAAATAAATAAAATCTTTAAAAAAAAGGGGTCATCTGCTTTCAATCCTAGAGTCAGAAATGAAAAAAATACCAATTATCCAAAAAAAATGTGTGAAATATAGACTGTGTGTCTTATAAAGATGGTAGACAGGTTAAAAACAACTGGCAAGTTACCCGGTGTTTAATCAATCAAGACATTCACTAATATACCCAACGAATATGAATGCCCACGTGCCAGACACTGTTCTAGGAGGTGCTCTGGGTACAGCAACCAAACAGGCCAAGCCCTGCTCCTGTGGAGTTTCCATCCTTGTGGGTTAAATTTCAACATTTAAATGTTAAGTTTCTCTGGACACGACACTACCTGTTTACACAGGTAAAACTTTTTACCTGTTATAACACGAACCAAAAATAACTCCCCCAGTTAATTTCCCCCAACTTGGAGATGAAGCCTACTGCATTCTACTTAACACCCTTACTTTACTTACTATGCGTGTGGTTTAGAAGTTTCTGCCTGACTTATGCTTGGGCTGGTAACCATCAAAGAAGTCAGTCTGTGTCCGAAGTTGGCTTATCATCCAACTAGCACCTAGTGAACATGTCAACCTAGCCAGCAGCTAAGAAGGAAATATGGAACCTTGGTGGCCAAACCCAACCTGTTCTTCTTAGAGATAAATGCTCTGCTGTAATTTAGTGAAGGAGGCAAAGGAGGTAAGTAAAGGTTTCTTTTCTAGGCAAGAACAGTTCGGTAGCTTAAATAAACATACACACAGACAGATTCCCAAAGTATGTGGCAGTAAGACACAGGGTCGGAGGAGTGTCTGTGGGAGGCGCAGGAGGCCGCCCGCTCACAGGTTTCCGAGGCAATTCTGGTGCAGATGCTCCACAGACCAGACCCCGAGAACACTGAGCAACAGGCAAGAAACCTTGGGGATGTCCTGGAGTTTTAAGTAACCAAAGATAACAGATGAGACCCGGCTAAGCAGACACTGACTGGTCATAACAACAGATTAGAGCTCTCTAAATGCACTGAGGTGTATTTTTGTTTAAGTTGACTTGAGAGAGGAACAACACAATATAATCCAGTATTAACAATAGAAATTAACTTTCGCCAAGGAGACTGATCTGCCTGGACTACTCTTATACAGCATGTGTCACCATTTGGCTTTTGAAGAAACTGGGGCTTTTTGTTCTTGTTCCTTAAATCTATAAAGCTAAAATGAATGACCATCATTCATCCTGCAATAAAACCTACCTAACATGTCCACAGAATAGACAATTATAAAGTAAGCTTATTTAAGACAAAAGTTCTATTTTGAATATTTTAAAAGGCATCCTATTCCTGTATTTTAAAAGGGTACTACTCTTAATCTCAGTACAGTGAGTTTTTCAACATAAATTTCAAAGATTACTTCTGAAGTGACAAAAATATCTTCTCTCTTGGGGGTGGGGGAAGCTTTTCTTAACTTCATCACTAGTTTAATCTTAGTGACTGTCCTATTTGGCTTCATGTCCCATGAGAACCCACCAAAACAATGTGGTCTGGCTGACCCTAGAGAATGAGTCTGTCAGCCCCATGGCAGTGCTGGTCAAAGCTCAGATTCATATGCTTAATTCTGTGCCACTGTTACCCAGAGTGTGAACCACCACAACGGTGAAGGGTTCCACAGACTGGTCTTCTAATGCTGCACCTGAAGCAGGTGGGGCTCAGGGACAGGGAACACTCAACACTCTGGTCTACCCTCACTCTCATAATTCTACCCATATACTGACCCGACTACACCCATTATAATAATATAGTCCACCTATCGAAAAGATAATTTACATTTACATTTCTAGTAAGTATCAAGCACAAATATTTTACTTTCCATCTGCAATATGCTTCACAACCGTAAATGTGGAGACCTGATCAATAAAATGGGTCTCTATTTGAAACAAAAACTCTTATCACTAGTCAAGAAGATAAAAATTTTAACTTATAAGGCAATTTTACATGCACATATAAAATTCCTGCAAGGGAAAATTCTGGGGAGGTACCTTTTTTCCCATAAAAAAATGTAGTTTCCGCATTTAAGAAAATCATGTCACTCCATAAGCCTGACACTAACACTTAGGGGAAAAAAAGCAGAATAAAATATACACTGATCTAAATGTAAAGCCACCCCACAGCAGTAACCTAAAGCCAACGGAAGGCCAGCTCCACTTCTGCAAGCACCAGACTGGGTTGGGGGAACCTGCTAGGTCCAGACTGTCTAACCAAAGCCACTAATCAAAAATAATACAACTGTGTCAGACACAGGCAATTCTGTCAAAAGTGTGAAATGTTAGCTGAATTTTCGTCAAAGCTCGTAGAAACAATCTTTTGAGATCCAGAATTTCCTGGTGCCATTATCTCCTACAGAAAAAATACTGAGGTCTAATTAATTCATTTTTCTATACCAGGGTGGGGGAGGGGGAGGGATGGAAAGGAGGACATTTTTTAACGTCAAAGAACTTTGAGTTACACAAAGACGTGTGGTATTTAATTAAGAGATTGTTCTGGTTCCGCTACAGAACATTTTCCAACCCATATGGTAATTTCAAATCTTAGAAGCTTAGCAATTGAAAAAATTAATGTCGTGGTTAAGCGGCTGATAGTGAAATCAGGCTGGGGCTTTCAGAAAGGGCTTTCTGTAGCACCGTCAGCTAGGGTGGGAAAATGGAAAAA